ATCTGTCTGTCTGTCTGTCTGTCTGTCTGTCTGTCTGTCTGTCTGTCTGTCTGTCTGTCTGTCTGTCTGTCTGTCTGTCTGTCTGTCTGTCTGTCTGTCTGTCTGTCTGTCTGTCTGTCTGTCTGTCTGTCTGTCTGTCCGTCCGTCCGTCCGTCCGTCCATCCATCCATCCATCCATCCATCCATCCATCCATCCATCCGTCCGTCCGTCCGTCCGTCCGTCCGTCCGTCCGTCCGTCCGTCCGTCCGTCCGTCCGTCCGTCCGTCCGTCCGTCCGTCCGTCCGTCCGTCCGTCCGTCCGTCCGTCCGTCTGTCTGTCTGTCTGTCTGTCTGTCTGTCTGTCTGTCTGTCTGTCTGTCTGTCTGTCTGTCTGTCTGTCTGTCTGTCTGTCTGTCTGTCTGTCTGTCTGTCTGTCTGTCTGTCTGTCTGTCTGTCTGTCTGCCCGCCCGCCTGCCTGCCTGCCAGCCCGTCTCCCTGCCTGCCCGCCTGCCTGCCTGCCCGCCTGCCTGTCTGCCTGCCCGTCTCCCTGCCTGCCCGTCTCCCTGCCTGCCCGTCTCCCTGCCTGCCCGTCTGTCTGTCTGTCTGTCTGTCTGTCTGTCTGTCTGTCTGTCTGTCTGTCTGTCTGTCTGTCTGTTGGTGTTTAGTTTTTCTTTCTTTTCTTTCTTTTTTTTGTTGTTTGTTTGTTTGTTTGTTTGTTAGTTTGCATCTTTCTTTCTTTCTTTCTTTCTTTCTTTCTTTCTTTCTTTCTTTCTTTCTTTCTTTCTTTCTTTCTTTCTTTCTTTCTTTCTTTCTTTCTTTCTTTCTTTCTTTCTTTCTTTCTTTCTTTCTTTCTTTCTTTCTTTCTTTCTTTCTTTCTTTCTTTCTTTCTTTCTTTCTGTTTGCGTATTTATATTTCATTGTTTCATGCTGCGTTGTTACATTTTCTTCTTTTCCCAGTCGTTTACTATCGTTCTTCTATATACGATAACCATTATTTGGGACAATGAGCTTACCACAAATCGCTTATACCAGGAGCCGCAAGGGAGTAGGCAGGCCATGCTCGCTTGTCGGTTGGTCCTGTGTGTCGTGGCTTCCAACTCGTACGCTCTGGTATCATGTCATTTCTTCCAATGTCTGTCAGAAACCTTTTTTGGTCACCGCTGACAGAACTGTCTTCAACAGAGTACCAAACGGAGATCGAATTAAGAGACTGGGGAAAAACACATTGTGAAAATCGCCGACGTAGTCGAGGTTGCGTTTAGTAGCCATACTTATCCGACACTACTACTGTCTACCAAAGCTGGTTACTTTAATCATGTGTGGTTGGTTAGTTGCGAATCCTTTACAGGGCGTTGCAGAACCAACCCAACAGCCCCTGGCTGTTTGTGTGGTTTTTTAGGGCAAATTTACGTCCAGTAGTTTGCCATTGCTTTCTAGACGGTCGACTTTCTTGATACCACTGTCGAAACCAACGCAAAGCGCATGGCCCGCAGCTGGGATCGAACCCGGCATCCCGGCATTACGAAGCGTTAGCATCGACTTAGCCACAGAGCCGACTTATCCATCACAAGGAAACAAAAACATAATCGTGGCACTGACATTCCCTTCACCCGTTCAAAACCGATGTCCCGAAAGTCCACCGATGCTCAAACCCGCGTCTTTCAAAACAACGCTACAAAAAACATCCGTACCCTGACAACTGAGTCCATGACATCTGCTTTCGTTTTATAGTTTCTTTTGGACGCCATCGCCTCCTGGGTTCATTTGTTTGGCATTTCAGTGCCTGTCTGTTGATACTCTGTTAGTTCCTCCTGATGGTATGCCTTATATATCGCCAGCAGATATCAAATCAATGGAAAATAGAACTAGTCAGATAAATGTCTGGACACCGGATGGAATCAACCGTATAAGACACAATAAATATGTGATTTTTCTCGGAAATACTTCATTTGAGTGATTTTGTTCTTTCGTGTTCGTGTTTGTGGTATTGAATATTCATGTAATGTGCTGACGATGGCTCTTTAGCCGCAACGTTCACTTGTCGTTTGTTTCTGTAATAGTGTACAGCTGACTAGTTCGTTTAAACAAATTGGACCTCTATACTGATTTCAAACCCAGACTTTCCGACAGGCAGGCCTGTGTCTAGCGACTGTGCCACCCATGGCTCACGAAAACTGCGAGGCCTCCTACAGCTTCATTCTTGGTTTAGAGCAGTTATTTTAAACTGGGAGTGCCCCCCACCTCCCCCAGTGGACGAAAGGAAGTTTCAAGAGGGACAGCATGCAATTTAATAACTGAGAGCATTTGTACCTGTAGCAATGTGTTAAACTAATACGCTTTTCAGTGTTATTATTTAAACAAAAAAAATTAAAAAAAAAAAAAAAAGATTTATAACACAAAAAGCCACAATGTTTAAAAAAAAAAAAATAAGATGGTTGAAATCTACTGTTACAAATCTAATTTAAAGGATAAGGCCCCCCCCCCCCCCCCACCACCCTCCTCCCCCACCCCCACCGAAATTCTTGTTAATAGTACTTTGGGATTTTCATTTTGCCGTCCTCGTTAAAATCACATTGTTATTTTTAGTTATGGCCGGGAAAAGAGGAAAAGGAGGGGATGGGAGGTGTGGGGGTTCTTATATTATATTCTAGAAGGCGCCACCTGGAAAGGTTTGTAAACCACTGGTTTAGAGAACGAAGAAAGAACATAGCGACGTGATCAAAGAAATGAGGATAATTAAACTATACAAGTGACTGTCCTCTCACCCAGCGGAACTTGTTGGAAGCCAGAGCAATTAGGGATTCGACAGTTTCTACAATGCCAATTGAGTACATCAGTAGAGAACAACTGGTCGGACTTCTAAAACTTGAAACAACTTAGCAGACCTTGTCCAGTAGACTTAAGAGACGCTATAGAGAATCGGCTAGTGCTGTTTTTGTGTGGCTGGAGTAGCTCTTGGGGCAGTTACTGGTGCTCAGGGACACGACAGACAGACGCATAGAATCTTCGATGGGGACTGTCTTTCTTCTGTGTCGTTTAGTTTTTTTTTTTTTTTTTTTTAATGAAATCTTGACTAACGCCTCGTTTTTCATGTTGACATATATTTTTTTTAACTACAAACACACAATTACTCTAGTCAGTCATGTGGGAATTAGGAGTCTCTTCCAAAACTTTCTTATACTTTCTCTTTCTTTCTCCTCAGTACCACAGTCTTATTATTATTATTCAATTCCTCCTCCTCCTCTTTCTTCTTCTCCTATTTATTTTCCTCGTCCACTCAATCTCATCTTCATTTCCCCTCCCCACTCATCCTTCTCCTCCTCCTCTCCTTTTCATCATCATCATCATCATCATCATTATCATCATCTAGCAACTAGCCGCTACACGAGGGCGGCTCCCCGTGTGTATACTTGTGTCAGAAAATTAAGTGAAGGACCCTGTTCACATCTTTAGTACCTCAGACACATGTTGCTGTATACATAGTCTTGTAGACCAAGCTGCAGTCAATGGATAGTTTCTTCAGCTTCACGCCGGCAACCTTTACTTCCCATTTAAGACTAGGTCGACTTGAAAACCTTAGTCAGTATTGAAAACAAATGGCTGTGATGCAGCATTTGAACTCCAGGGGCCCGAAGGCAAGTATCTAGTCTCTAAGCCACATTATCTACCGTACTAAGACATTGTCTAAACTTCTGAACAATTAAATCTAATCGATGTAATAATAATTAGTATTAGTTAGTTGCGTATCCTTTACAGGACGTTGCAGAACCAACCCCAACAGCCCCTGGCTGTTGTGTGGTTTCTCTAGGCAAGTTACATCCAGTAGTTTGCCATTGCTTCCTGGACGGTCGGCTTTCTTGATACCACTGTCGAAACCAAATCAAGGCGCATTGCCCGCGGCTGGGATCGAACCTGGCATACCAGCATTACGAAGCGAAGCGTTCGCATCGACTTAGCCACAGAGCCGACTGTAATAATAATAGCAAGTTAATTAATTTTCATATCTAGGAAGTATGTTCTTTAATAAGAAGAGAATATATCTGGAAATAGAAACAAGATGCCAACGAGGCAGGGCAACAATAGACACAGTTATTATGATATCCAAGAGTAAGTTTAACGAACAGGTAACAAGTTATAAACAGCATATTTTTTCCAACTCTGTGCTATCAGTGCCAATCTTGGACATTATCACACGCTAACCTGCGTAAGTCGGCTCTGTGGCTAAGTCGATGCGAACGCTTCGTAATACCGGGATGACAGGTTCGATCCCAGCCTTGCGTTAGTTTCGACAGTAGTATCAAGAAAGCCGACCGTCCAGATTACAATGGCAAACTACTGGACGTAAATTTGCCTAGAAAAACCACGCACAGCCAGGGGCTGTTTGGGTTGGTTCTACAACGTCCTGTAAAACCTTCGTAAAAGTAACACCTGTGAAATACAATGCCATATAAAAGCTATCAACATAAAGATCCGAGACAAAGTGAGAATTTACACTATCATGTAGACTGTGGGAACAACGCCATGCACCAAATTCTTCGAGAAACAGAAGATCAAATAGTTCGGTAATATTGTTAGAATACGGTCAGAACAACTATCAACGCATGCGCTAAACTTGAAATGTCGCCCATGGAGAAGATGGCTTGATCAACACGGATCGCAAACTGTTTCTCCCTACCTAGCTTAACTGTGAAAGCGGGAATTGATGATGATGATGATGAACGAACGAACGAACGAACGAATGAACTTTATTTTCAAAAGGTCACAAATTGGGCACCCAGGCCCGTCTTAAATTCGGCCCTTCCAGTCAACCATCTTTCGCACAGCAGTATTTGACTAATAAAGCATGTTATGATCATATGATGATATGCAAATTATGAATAATATAAAAGAACACAAAAACATGAGTTGTAAAGTGCACGCAAAATGGCGATTATAATGATAAGGATGATAATGATAAGGATGATGATGATGATGTAATAATTTGTTCTAATTGAGTCCTCATGTTAATGTTTTTGTTTCAGTGTGACCCGGGAGTTGCTACAGACGCCTTTTATGACTTCATCTACCGGAAGTCGAAAGAGACCCGCCTCATGATGGTGATGGGAAGCGCGTGCGGCGAGGTCACCAAAACTATCGCGGAAATTGTGCCTTATTGGAATCTGTTGCTGGTGAGTTTATGTCCTCGTTGTCTACAGGTGCCAGCAGGCAGACAGGCAGGGACATGATTTAACAAACAGTAAAATAGGCAGGCAGATAGGCAGGGACATGATCTAACAAACAGTAAGATAGGCAGGCAGACAGGCAGGGACATGATCTAACAAACAGTAAGATAGGCAGGGACAGGATCTAACAAACAGTAAGATAGGCAGGCAGATAGATCAATGACAGGCGTTACACATAGATACAAAAGAATACACGTAGACAAACATATACAGTTAGACATTAAAAAAAATCCAGATAGAAAATCATATAGACAGACAAACAGTCAGACAGATACCCACATGTATATACACACACACACACACACACACACACACAGAGAGAGAGAGAAAGAGAGAAAGAGAGAGAGAGAGAGAGAGAGAGAGAGAGAGAGAGAGAGAGAGAGAGAAGGATAGTTAAAGAGGCCAATGCAAAGTTAGACAGACAATGAGATAAACGACACACACACACACACAGAGAGAAAGAGAGAGAGAGAGAGAGAGAAAGAGAGAGAGAGAGAGAGAGAGAGAGAGAGAGAGAGAGAGAGAGGGATAGTTAAAAAGGCCAATGCAAAGTTAGACAGACAATGAGATAAACGACCAGACTGATGATAAGAATGATGGTGGGAGGGGCATATGGTAGCAGAAAGATAGGTAGGTAGGTGATTGCTTAGAACAATCAGCATTCCCGAAGGGAAAAGCTTTAGGTTATAATTGTGACTAGGTTGTGTGCGCCATATAAAATTGCTTTTTACTGCACGCCACCAAAAACTCGGATAAGGACTCCTGCTGTGTTGATGCAGACAACGAGTCAGACCCAAATACTATCCCGACCGGAGATCAGAATAATAAAGCCAGAGTAGAGAAACAAAACAGGTTGGAGAAATGGAGAGGCGAAAAGATGAACTGAATGAGGAAATGGGCGAAGGACAGGTACGTAGACCGAGGGACGGAGCAAGAGCTCACGGACGTTTTGAGGAACGACAGTAAAGGGAAGTAAAAGAACCTTTTCATGTAAGGGGCGCAGGAGGCATTTGATGCTTGACCAGTGGTATCCAACCTGAGGGGAACCCACTGCCCCCAGGGGGGGGGGGTGTGAGAAAATTTCAAAGGGGCCGTCAGGCAGTTTTCACTCTATACACCCCCCCCCCTTCTCCTTCTTGTCGGACACTCTAAATCGCTCTATGTCAGTGATTCCCAAACTGTGCGCAGCGGCGCCACATTAAGCCACGACCTCTTCACAGGGGCGCCGCGAAAAATTCGAAGATAAACGAGTTTTATATTTTGTTTGTTTATCTTTTACATACCAATAGTCATACTTTTACTTAGGTTAGGGCGCCGTGGACAAAAGTTTTAATTGATAAAAGGGGCCGCGACTAAGACAAGTTTAGGAAACACTGCTCCAGACAATTCACAGGTTCATTCAGTGAAATTTGTTGGTAGGTCGATTACTGTTCTTCTTTCTTTATATGGAGCCACGTTTAGCAAAGGTTATATAAGGAAAATGCTATTAAACAATCGGGAGATTTCCTCCATAATCTCTACTGTCGTAAGAGATGGTGATACGTGGCAGCCCGTGCTTAACTACCCGGCAAAGGATATTATTAATATACATCGTGTGCTATTTTTGCCATTTTTATGTGTGTGTTTGTGTGCTGACAGTGGCAAGGAGAGCAAAGTAGAAATGCATCAGGCGTATCTATACGCCACAAGAGAAGAACTTTTACTAAACAGCGAAAAACCAAGGACGCAAATAAATCTAAGCCATTGAGGCAGATGGAAGCAGTGCAATTTTCCCGTCCTATTTCAAGATAAAGATCAAACTGTTAGGTTGACGCATACAAGGACCTTAACATCGCTCTGTTGTAGTAGTCCATTTTACCCCACTCGGACATCACACAAGCGATAAACACCCGATGACACAAAGTGCCACCATGCGGATGAGGATCCCCGTGGAGAGGTCCCGGAAACTGCGTTCAGTCATAATTCCATATTTATGGCCGGGCTATATTGCAGCCCCTAGCAAGAGCCAGGATGGGGCTTCAAAATTACGAAAATTTGCAACCCACAATTGGAGGACTAGCTAATTACATCGCTCAGTGGGTAGAGAGATAGAAATAAAAACATATACATACACATACAAACATATGAATGACACAAAGCGAATGATCATTTGAAGGATCATGGAGTTACTGAATGTCTCAGTGATTGTTGTCATCACATTCAAATATATCAGGGATAAAAAAAAGACCAGGGAAAAACTGTCCGCTGGACATAGCTCGTGTGTCCAGCACTGTCTTGAGCTAAGGGACACAATTGACACTCAAACAAATGAAATCGACAAGCTTGTTGGAAGGACTTTAAGGCTAATGAGAACAATGTTTACTGAAAACCAATGAAGTCACATGGACCTAGCATCTGCCGCTGTCGCATCCAAAAAGCGCTTGGTCTTTTCCTTTTATTGTGTGTATTTTAATTTGTGGCATTGTTGGTCAAACAGCCCACGGATTGAAAGCATAAGGCAAACCCTTGGATGTGCCGACAGTTCACCAGTTACGTCCTTGTTATTCGTCTCAATGTGGGACGCAATCTTTTTTGTTATTGGAAACCCCATCCTGGTTTTTTTTTTTTTTCTTTATACAATGTTTGTAAGACAAAGAAGTTGGCGCCATTTTGGGCACTCCCTGAGAAAAAACCAGCCGAGGATTTTCAAACAGGCACTGAAATATGAAATAGAGTGATCAAGAAAGCGACGACGCCTAAAAGAAACATTTTAACAAACGAACTTGAGAGAAGCCGAAGATGCTAAATTAAATTCCGTCCATGAAAGACGGACATATAACCAGATTGTGACCGGTACCATTAATACTAGAACTCTGTGCTGGCTGCTGAAGATGAGGACGGAGCATACATTGGAATGCCCCGAGTGCTATGATGTCAATACTTGACTCAACTCAAAATTCCGTCCATGATTTTCAATTGCACAGTATAAAAAGGAAAGTGAAAAAAAAAAAAAAGACTTCAAGTCCTAAGTCACACATAATGGCACGGCAGGACAATGAATGAATGAATGAATGAATGAATGAGTGAATGAATGAATGAATGAATGAATGAATGAATGAGTGAATGAATGAGTGAATGAATGAGTGAATGAATAGAGAAAAAGAGATGACGAATTTCATAATATTAACTCTGCATCATATAACAGAGAAGGAAAAACAAATAGGTCATAGATGTATGTGTATGACAAGTCTAGGAGAGCCTACAAGAATCCTGGCGTTGTGTTTATGTAGATACTGATTTGTCTCTCGTTAGATTTCGTATGCAGCCACATCTCCGGCACTTAGCGAGCGAGAAAAATACCGGACCTTTTTCCGTCTGGCGCTCGGCGACTCGGCCCTCAATCCTGCTCGGCGCATGTTAATCAAGCACTTCGGCTGGGACAAGGTCGCGGCCTTGCACGAGGACTTGGAGTCCATGTCTCTGGTATTGTATGTGTTATATGTGTGGTATGTGTGTGATGTATGTCTTTGTTGCTTGTAAGGTATGTGTGTGGGTGTAGTGGCTAGGTTCTCACCTCCGAGCCTGGAGGTTGTAGGCTCAAATCTGCCTAGCTGGATTTGTTAAAAAAATAATGTGGGCTCACAGGACTATCCATCATGTGTCGATTAGTCTATAAAAACATAGATCTAGCCCTATGTGCCCTATGAACCTAAAGGCGTGGAAAAGGGACCTTTACTTGACTTACTATAGAGATTGTTAGAACAAAAGTAAAGAAGCCTTTGTTGTCATTAGGGCTTTGAGCCTAAGGTGATAGATTCACATTTGTAGAGGTCAGTCGGCACTTGATGAATGCCTTGGTCATAACAACACCAGCAGCATTTACTTTCTAGGACATTTCCTTGCATTCTCCTTAATTCCCGCGTGCCAGGTACGACCCCGACTGCGGACGATTTGTCTTACGTTGGTTTCGACGGTGGTACCGAGAGCTGACTGTTCAGTAGCTATGGCAAACTGCTGAAGGTCAAATGTGACTAGAAAAAAAAAAAAAAAAACAGCCAAAGAATGCTGGGGTTGGCTCTGCAACGTCCTGTAAAGGATACGCAAATAACTTTTAACCTTTCGTTTTAAGCTGGGTCGACCTTGGAGATATTTTTGAAGAAAATAGTTTGCCTCACCTCGGATGTGAACCCTAGACATTCAGACTGCAAGCGAACATATAGCCAATACGCTACTGAGACTCCGAGTGCGTTTCAAAAGTCCTACCATCAAACTTTAACAAATAAAAAATAAAAAATAAAAACTGTATTTTCAAAACTTCATTAAATGTAAACATGCTAACTGTATGCTTTGAATCGGTGTCTGTTTTGTCATATACCGCAAACAAAACAAAATAAAAACTATAATTTTGTTAATATTTTAGTTCTTTTTCCTGCAAGGAAAATCCAGTCAGCTGTGGATTTTCTCTGGATTCCCCCTATTTGGGGTAACTAAAAAATAAAGCACCGACATGTTAATTACCAGGTTGCACTGTTAAATTTCAAAAATTTTCACCCAGCCGTTACTGAGTTTTAGATTTTTAAATATTGGCACAACTTTTGAAACGCACTAGACTTGCTAATGTTTATAATCAAACCTTCTGCAGGCATTCAATGGAATCAGCAAGGATTTCTCAGCCCATGGAATCGTCATCAAATTTTCCACTTCCTTTAAAGATCCGACCGTGGAACTACCAGGTCAACTGAAGGACATTAAGGTTAGTTCTCTTTCTGATACCTCTTTAGTCAATAAGTTTGTTTATTTGGAAGGAAAGTGTTCTAAATAAAAACAATCCCAGAAATGAAAAGAAAAATCAACGAAGACAAGGGAGCTACGAATACATATACTACCCAACGTTTCGAACAAAGTCTTTTTTAACGTTTCGACCAGTCTTTTTTAACGTTAACAACTTGACTGTCTTCTTCTTCTCCTTCTTCTTCACTTAATCTTTTACGTTTTTGGTGTGTCTTAGATTTAAAGTCCAGATATAAGGGACTAAATTAACACAAACCCAAAAAATGAATAGAAATATCAACGAAACAAGGAATAATACATATACTTCCCAACGTTTCGACCAAAGTCTTTATCAACGTTAACACTTCGACTGTATTTCTTCTTCTTCTTCTTCTTCTTCTTCTTCTTCTTCTTCTTCTTCTTCTTCTTCTTCTTCTTCTTCTTCTTCTTCTTCTTCTTCTTCTTCTTCTTCTTCTTCTTCTTCTTCTTCTTCTTCTTCTTCTTCTTCTTCTTCTTCTTCTTCTTCTGTCTTCTTCTTCTTCTTCTTCTTCTTCTTCTTCTTCTTCTTCTTCTTCTTCTTCTTCTTCTTCTTCTTCTTCTTCTTCTTCTTCTTCTTCTTCTTCTTCTTCTTCTTCTTCTTCTTCTTCTTCTTCTTCTTCTTCTTCTTCTTCTTCTTCTTCTTCTTCTTCTTCTTCTTCTTCTTCTTCTTCTTCTTCTTCTTCTTCTTCTTCTTCTTCTTCTTCTTCTCCTCTTCTTTTCCTCCTTCTCCTGCTTCACTCTCTAATACACCTTGGGTTGGTCATAGATACAAGGTCCTTGTTTTTTCTGTTGTGGCTGCTTGAACCATACAGACGTGATACTGCTATAGAGTTTCTCTGATGTCATCTATCCATTTTATTCTTGGTCTACCTTGTGCTTTCGTCTCTCTCCTCTTTCGACATATTCCCTGTATGTTATGATATTGCAAGACACTTTCTCGTAGTCAGCAATTAGTTTTATTTACAGTTTTGATTTACAATAGTACTGGTTCTTTGCTGCTTTGTGTATGGATGTACTAGCGAAATCTCTACCTTATATAAAAGTCCCCTTGTTGCGTCTTCATGCATATTGAACATTTATGACTTGACTTATATTGTATAGACTAACTGGCACTTTACTTCCCAAGACTTTACTTGGGACCCATTTAACGCTGGGTCAACCTGGAAACCAAGGTCGCTTAAACAAAAAAAATCAAACTCAATGCGGATTTGAACCTACAACCTTCGGACCTGAGGCGAGCATCTAGCCAGAACACACAGTACATGGTATCCTCCCTTTCTTCGTCGCCATTTTGAATAGATGGTTTTTGATCTAGTAGCAGAACCTCTATCTGGGAAATAGACGAAAGGAACACTCACAGAGTTAGGCCCAAGGGAACTCGAGTAATCTCATTTGAAGAAACATGATCAACCCACAAGGGGATCTGTGGTGTTGCTTCCACTGCGATTCCAGGCTGGACTGTTTGCACAAGACGACAAACAGGAACCGCGAAGTGCTGGTCAGTGAGTGGTCGGTAAAATCTCCTGGGGCGGAAGTAAGACCAGAGCGTTTACAGTAATAATGATGCAGATGGCAGGGATTTTGTAGGGATAGTTTTGTTGATAAATAGGATAATGATGACGATGACGATAATGATGATGACGACAATGATGATAATGTTGATGACGATAATGTTGATGACGATAATGACGATGATTATCTTCTTCTTCGCGTTCACCAGCTGTACACTCTGGCGGAAAGTTATGGTTGCTCGTCCACTACTGAACTGCAGTCCTGCTCCAGAATCTGAGTGTTGCGTGTGCATCAGTTTTACAGATCTCATTCTCTTGAATACAGACTGTTGGTTCCTTGCCTCTCCGGCAGATGCACTCCGACTTCAAAGGAAGATCCCTAATTAGTCGACTCTTACGACATGCTTTTGGGGAGACAGTGGGTCTATTCTTGTTTTCCCCACAATGGGAGCCCCGGAACCCACACGGGGGACGATGATTATGACTATGATGATGGATGATGACGACGACGATGATAAGCATCATGGTAATTACAATGATGATAACGATGATAAGGATAATAATGAAGATGATGATGGTGATGATGATATCGATGATAAGGATATGGATGATAAGGATGATTATGAGGATGATGTTGATGATGATAATAATGATAATTATGATGATGATATTCATGATGATGATAATGATGATAAAAATGATGATAATGGTGATGATGATGATAATGTCGATAATGACGGTGATGATAGGGATTGTGATGATAATAACGTTGGTGACGACGATGATAATAATGATGATAACGATATGGATGATGATGGCAACGACGACAATGATGGTGATAATGGTGGCTACGACAACGACAATGACAATGATGATGATGATAATGATGATGATGTATTTACAGCTTTCAGAATGTGTTGATTAAGTCCCATCATGAAAGAGACCCGGTCATTACCATATTATATTATCAAAGATAGATGCGGCGTTGCTGCATCTCAGCGAACCGTCATTGCGGAGGCGGCACACTGTTCAGTATTTATCCTCCATAAAACTACACTGTGGAAAGGGGGAGGAGGAAAAAGAAAAGATCCCACTGCCACCCTAAGAAGCATGTCGTAAAAGTCGACTCATAGTGGATGTGTTTTTTCATAGGCAGAGTGCATCTGCCTGAGAAGCGAAGAACCAACAGTCTGCATAAAAATAAGATATATACTAAAACAGTGTGCAGGCAAAAGTGAGGTTATGGGACCATACCAAAGTCCAGAAGTGGACGAACACCCATAACTTTCCACCGGAGTTTACAGGTAGTGAACGCAAAAAAGAGGAAAGTCCCATGCTTGTCAGGGATTTGAACACATGACTGTCGGACAGACAGGCAAGCATTCTAGCCATGTCACCACAACGCTCTCTGACGTCTCACTGTATGTTCAAACATCCTGTTGTTGTTCCTATCATCCTTTCAAGGATCTGGACGCCAGAATCATCATGGTTGGCCTCACCGAGACCGCAGCGAGGCAAGTGTTCTGTGAGGTTTGTTTATCAGTGAACTCAGTATTACATTCAGAAATGATTCACTGTGTGTGGAGTGATTGATAATCGGGTCTGTTTGTTCCCATTCATCCATCTAATCTAGCGGTTCTCAACCTGTGGGTAGCGACCCTTTTATGGGTCGAACGACCCTTTCACAGGGGTCACCAAATACCATCAGAAATCACATATTCACTGAAGTTATGAAGTAGCAACGAAAATTATTGTTGGGGATCGCCACAACAGGAGGGACTCTATTAAAGGGTCGCGGCTTTAGGAAGGTTGAGAACCTCTAATCTAATCCGTTATTTTGTTACTGGAGTAAGAAATTACATTGCTGTCTGGATGAATGTTTTCTCTTCTACTGTGGGATGCAAACGTTGCCTCGATGTCCTTCTCAATGCATTGAACGAAAAAACAATCTAAAGCTGCCTCTATTGCTAAGGATAGCATATTTCCCCACGTGCTCGAATGCGGTAGTCACAATAAATGTATAATATTATTCTATGAAAGATTGTCATGAGTAGATTGTTATAGACGAGTTAATGATTACACCAACTCTCAAAATCTATATCAATCATATACTCATATACGGAAGTAATTCATGGACAGTTGGTCGGTTAGTGTAAAATTATTTGGAAGCGGTAGTGATGGAGTTTTTAAAAAAATGTTAAGTCGGGAGATGTTAACCAACGTCATTGCACACGGTTATAAACCATAAGAGCTCTGCCACCAGTACAAATAGCTGATATGAGACTGTCGGCCTGTGTCGCCGTCCGCACGTAACTCCGTAGCTACAGCGACGTTCCTCCATTTACCCCAAAGTGTAAACTTTGGTACCCATTTCCTAGATGCTTATTGAATCCCGGGAACTGTGGACTGCAGCGAGTCACAGCTGGATTTCAAAACGAGTCTCCTGTCGACTGCGCTAACGCGGTCCTCTAGAGATAGGTTTTTATAAACACAATTCACCCTTAATAGCGAGGTTGTTACGTTGTTTTGTGGTTTACAATCAGGCTGCGATATCTGCGCCTTTCACACCCGATTTCAGCATTTCCTTATTTGCTGGCCTTGATTAAATGCTTGTTGGGGTCGGCGTCTGTGGCTAAGGCGTTTCGAACGTGCTTCGTAATGCCGCGTGCTGGCGATTTGGCAGCAGGCCGCCCTGCTTTGGTTGGTTTCGACAGGGTTATCAAGAGCCGGCCGTTTGGAAAACAATATCAAACTACAGAACGTACAATTCGCCTAGAAAAACCGCAACGGTTAAACAAATGCCGGCGTTGGTTCTGCAACTTCCTGTAAATATATGCAACTAACATTTGTTGTTGTTTGGGGACATGGCAATGAGTGAACCCAATGAAACCTGCTAGGGGAGTATCTGAATAGAATAAAGAAGAGGTAAATGAAATATGTCTGTCACATAAAAAGATATAATGCTCTCGTTAAAAAAAAAAAATTATAATGAATAGATGAGCAAGAGGTAGACATCGATACAAGTGAAGTGATAACATCATGAGATAGACAAAAAGCAGTTTTAAAGAGTCTATAAGCAGAATGAGAAAGAGCAATCTGAAGATTGCTTGCAATCAACATTCATTGCGGAGACGGCACATGATTGATTGATTGCCAGTTTTCTTCAGTGGGCAATCAGTTGAATATCAGTGAACAGATTTCTTGACGATTGTCAGGCTGACTTTCCGGAGCTGGAGATTGAATTGAGATAAAGAGAAACAATCAGCGAGAGATTGGTTACTAAACTGTGGCTTTGATGTATGGCCATACTTCGTATTTGTCTCACACAAACTGTTTTTAAAAAGATAGTGTTGCCAGTATGGGTTGCATGTTGACCACATAACACAAGTAAAGGAAAGGACCCTTTTCCACCCCTTCAGGCGTATTGGGCATATAGGGCTAGACGTATATTATATAGACCAGTCGGCGCATGGTGGGTGATGAGGTGGACTACATGACGGCGGCCGCCGTACTTCACAGGACTTTACCTAGTACCCATTTCAGACTGGGAGTAGCCGTGACGTAGCGGCTAGACGCTCGCGTGCTGATCGGAAGGTCGTGGGTTCGCTCCCTAGCGGAGCCGGACTTTTTTCTTTCAAAAAATGACCTTGACACCCAGGTCTACCCAGCCTTGAGTGGGTAGCGGCTGCATTCCCGGGAAGTAAAGGCGGCCGGCGTGATGCTGACCACATCAACCATTTTGTGCCGATCGGTCTATACAAACATATGTCTAGCAGTATGTGGGTGAAGGCAGGGAAAAAGAACCTTTACTTTTTTTTCACATTTCAGACAAATCTGACCTGGTAGGTGATTTTAAAAAAAAACAAGTCGGGCTTCGTCTGGACCTGAACCTTGGACCTTCTGATCCGCTGGCGAGCGTCTACTCGCTACACCACGTCGACTCTCATAGCAAGAAATACAAATTATGTACTGAGCACAATATACCTAGTGCGTCAGGGGCGGGAAAAGGGACATTTACTTTACTTATTTGTCACGAAGAAGAAAACACGGACATCCTGTATGATGTGAACGTCGACGAGAAGTGGCTCATAAACAGCACGCTGTCCTGAAAGCAGAGGCACTGTGGTCATCTTAAACTACATGATGGCCTAGAGAGAACTGGGATGGAAAGTAATGTTTCTGTTGAACGAGGCAGAGGCCGAGCTTTGTGAATGTGGATACACATAGGGCTGGAGAAGAAGAGACTTTAAGACGTACCGTGATGACAGCAACATTCTGAAAAGGACGTGCTGATTGATAGTGATCGTTTTTTGTTCTCGTGTCTCGTGGCCTATAACTATAAATATTAAAATCATTCCGTGTCGAGTGAGAAAGGAGATAAACATGCAAAGATCTATGTAAGCCACTGTACGGAAGTCTACATCCTGTTCTTCGCGTTCACCAGCTGTAAACTTTGATGGAAAGTTCTCTTCTTTTTATTCACATCTAGACTTAAGTTGCATTCTATAACGTGGGTTTTGCTTGCGTATGCGTTTTACAAGACTATCATACTTGTATGCATGACGTTTGGCTTCTCAACACTCAGGCAGATTTACTCTGACTTCAAAGGAAACAGCCCTAGTTAGTCGGCTATTACGACAAATTTGTTGGTCTATTACCCCCAACCCCTATTCCCCCCCCCCCCCCCCCCCCCCAGGTGATGCCGGTGTGTTGTGAAATGAAAAGAGAGATAGACAGGCTGGTTCTGCACTAACTGGTGGCACACTGATGCGTTACAAGCCAGATGGTGTAAGAGTTTTTGGGAGCATGTGAACAGTGCTGAGGCACAAACATGTCATTACAGTCTGAGATGAATAGAAACCTAATTACCCGCTTCAGAAGAAAACAAACAAGGAATCTAAGCATTTGAAGACAAACTGTATGTGGTTGGAGATCGGTTGGGGACAGGGGTGGGGGTGGGGGAGGGGAGTAGGTGGACTGGGGTTGGGGGAATGGGTAGACGTTCTTATAGGTTATAAACGCTGGAAACATAGGCGGACTTATTTAATCAGGTTGCATCAAGTACTATTAGCGTGTCGACTCTTCGTTGGCTGCTGGAGAAGGAGACGGAGCACGTGGGGGAGTGCATTGATGTCAGCTCTTTCTTCATCAATTCAGAAGGGAACAGTCTACGTCGGCAGGCATGGCATGAGAAACGTTATACACACTCAACCCTGCTATATGATGCAGAAACCTGGACAGGGAACAAGCAGCTAAAAATAGGAACTGCTTCTCTGTGGCACAGAGTGTTAAAGAGCTATTGCATCCAATATGTACTGTGAATTTACTAAGTGGCTCTAAATGGAAACATTAAAATTGTGATAGAAGTTACAAACATCATGTCATTGTCAAGTACCCTGTCAGTATTGTCGTTAAGGATGTCAATAGTGTTAAGTACATAACCTTGTGGTACACACGACATGGTGACGTATAATGACAATTTAAAAATGGCCGCCCCAATTTTGAGACACACCAAAAAGTAGCAACGTTCTGTTGTCCATTACGGAGTGGGGATTGGGGAAAGGGTGGGGGGGGGGTGGGGGGGGGGGGCTGTTTAGTAATTGATCTAGCTCCAAGACTGACCCAGTCTTTAAAGGGAACTAGAAGTTCATGAAAAGCAAAGGTTGCCCGCATACGTTGACCACATCATCCATGGATTGTCAATTCATCCATAAATTAATATCCATGTCACCACATTTCCTTTTCACACATAGGATAAAAACAGGTCGGTTACTATTTCTTACTAATTTGTTATTTATTTAATCTTCCAGAACAAACTAAAATAAACCCAATATTTATCTACCAGAATCATCCCCGTGTGGGTTTTGGGACCCATTTTTGAGGTAAAGAAAAAATCCCACTGCCCCCTACTTCCACGAGCGTGTCGTAAAAGTCGACTAGCTAGGAATATATGCTTCGAAGTCGGAGCTCATCTGCCTGAGAAACTATGAACAAACATGGAATGCATTTCTTTTTTTCTTGATACTTTTGTCATTAATTTTCGCATACATAAAAGTCAGATCTGTAAAATGGATGCGCATACAAACTCAAGTTCTGGAACCGTCCATAAGTGGACGAACAGGGCAGAACTTTCCCGTCGAAGCTACGACCCGTCAACGCGAAAAGGGAGAAGATTTAGCAGAATCAACACTTCGTGTGGATAAACATCATCCTCTGTTGATTTTTCCGCCTACCAATAATTGATATGATGGTGCGGGGTTTCCCAATGATCTCCATATTTGACAGGCATACACACAAGGCATGTATGGATCCCGCTACGTGTGGATCCTTGTCGGGGGTCACAAACGCCAGTGGTGGAACGATGCGCGCCAGGATGGGGTCCAATGTTCTCAGAGCCAGCTAGCAGCTGCTGTAGAGGGGGCCTTCACTGTGGTGGATTTTAATGGTTTACCAGAGGGCAGCAAACTTGTGGGCAACTCGGTAAGTTCAGTCTATGAATAATGTTCGTTGAGATTTGATTTAAAAAATAAAAAAAAACTCAAATAAAAGCGTATAAAAGTTAAAACTCATTTTAAGGTTATTTTATTTATCATCATGTTCCACTTGTGTTATCCAAGTCTTTGATCACGGCGGTTAGTTGTTCACATTAGGATGGACTGTCTTGTGTTTAAATCCATATGGTGGCAGATTTTTTGTCCACAGAAACATAGGTCTTCACTCCCATACCGACCCATCCTATACTGGGTACGAAGTAATGCACTGGGAAGTAAAAGCGGCCAGCTTCTGGCCCGCGATGATCCCTATTTTCAGAATGTCCGTCCTTTGCTTAAACTTAAATAAATAGCCCTGCATTTGTAATGTATTTCTTTCTTTCTTGATCCTTTTGCGGTTAGTTTTCACATACCATGGTTCAAGAATTCTGTCTACTGAAAATAGGAGCTTTCTGAAGTGGCATTTGAGTTCTTTTATTTTATTTCACCTCATTTCGAGGACTCCAAGATGTCTTAGGGAGTTCCTGGGAAAGTCCAATAGTATAGGGGTGTTGGGGTGTGAAATTACCACCGACTAGCACTAACCCTACCCCCCCCCCCCCCATAAAATGTTGGTGAAATAAAAGAAAAGAACCGGCATATGCAACATTAGGAGAGTAAAAAACCTCCATCCTGCCACATTAAATAAGCAAACAGGACGTGACAGGCTGTCAAGGAAGACATATGTGGGGACAGAAAATGGAGAACGGATTTAGTTCATCCCAAATTTCTGCAGCCATTTGGCCAAACTGTGTCCCGTAGCACGGGAAAATCCAGCTGTGAGAGAAATTGGGGAACATCTTTAGAAATTTAGCTGTCCCGGTTGATGTCATCTGTTATCAGAATCTTTCTTTGACTGGTATTCTGGACACCACACAAAACCGTTCCAGGGGTGTTCCGAGATTGTTACTATTTATATGAGATGAGGACAAAATCGTAAACAGTGTGGTGTTATTTGGTAATAATTTGTATACGCTGTTGTGTTTTCTTCTTTTTCTTTTGGGATGGCTCTTTAAAGTACGGTCGGTACGTAGTGTTTGCTTTACAGCTAGACTGCGAAATCTTCGCCTTTCGAACTGACACATCTGATTCAAGTGTGATTAGTTGCTATTGAATGAATGATTGAATAAATATATCAAGAACTGACATGACTGTACTCGGGACATTCCCATGGGTGCTTCGTTTCCCCCTCCCCCCCCCTCCCCCCCCCACCTTTTTTTTAAAACCTCCCAGAAAAATAGTCCTTGTGACCCATGTGAGAAAATATATTCTATGCGCAGTGCCTGATTTGGGCACAGGCTGCAGATTAGGGCCTCACAGTCTGCAAGGGCCTCAACTTCTTTCTTTTGTCAATATCTGCTTATGCCACTAGGCATTGCAGTTGAGTTCATCAGAAGATCGGCAGCCAAGCCAGGGCGCGCTCGGTCGCTTGATTTGCAATCTCAGTGACTCCTTCAGCGCATCTTCTTCTCAAGGATCTCAACAAATTCCTTTTTTTTCACAAATGTAATTTTCTTTTAATCCAACCTTTTTAAAATAATTATATAATATAATTTATGTGATTTATAAGACACATTCGTTATTATTTGTTCTACTGTTATCTGTCGTCTCGATATATTGGACGCAATTTTAAAGCCTCACCCTGATAAAACATAACGGTTGAACGGGGTTTCTGGGATCTCTTCCCGGGTTGTCCTCATCCGCATAGTTGCACTTTGTGTCACATGGTGTTTTTCGCTTGGTGGATGTCCTAGGGGGGTTGAATCTCATTCATTCATTCATTCATTCATTCATTCATTCATTCATTCATTCATTCATTCATTCATTCATTTGTTCTACTAAAAATTAAACAAAATTTCAATGATCCATAGATTTAAAAAAAATTGCCTGAAATCATGCTTGATTCAGATGTGTCAGTTCGAAAGGCGAAGATTTCGCAGCCTAGCTGTAAATCACAACACTACGTACCAGCAGTACTTTTAACTACCATCGAAAAAAAAGACATACCAATGACTGCAAATTATTACTAAACACCACAGTGCTTACGATTTTGCCCCCCCCCCCCCCACCTCCCATTTAGTTACCCATGTATGTAGTTTATTATTGTATAAGTTGTTCTACATATTTCCGCTCAAACAACAGTACTGATTTTGACATTATAGTTAAATCAGCTTACTGTTAGTTGTAATCCCTTTGACTTCCACCCATTTTCTAGTGCTATGAAAACACAGTTCTTTGGCCAAGTAATGAGAAAGGTAGCACTAGAAACTATCGTGACGACTGGAAAGATCATTGGTAGAAGATGCAGAGGCAGACCAAGAGAAACGACGATGGATGGCCTAAGACAGTGATATGGAGGAAGATCATTAGTGGAA